CCCGCCGCCCCCCCCCGCCCCCCCCCGCCCCCCCCCCCCCCCCCCCCCCCCCCCCCCCCCCCCCCCCCCCCCCCCCCCCCCCCCCCCCCCCAAAGGTTCCTGGTAAAAGGTTTAAGTTATCCCTTTAATGATTATTATAACGACGTCTTCGAGAAGGCTGAATTAGAGCTATATATATATTTAAATCTATGATGATTTGAACGTCATATAAGACCAAACAACCCCATATCTGACCTCATAGGTTGATCCCGTCCGTTTGTACCTGCAGTAGCGCCATCGAGCAAGCCAGACACACCTCTAATTATTCGATGGCGTAGCTTTTTCATGGATGCGTACCTAGTTTTATTATTGGAGATAATTGTTGTCGAATGAAATTTGCTATTTTTTTTTTTAAAAAAAAAAAGAAACTACATGTATTTATGGGCTGATTGTATGTTCGTCTGCTCGTTGGGGAGTGGAGGGAGATGTGACCTCTAATAGATGACGTCAAGCACTGCTGTGGGACTTATTGCCGACACTTTATGGTGTAATCATTGACGGGAGGCAATATCAGGTATCCTGACGTATGATCAGAGTTATCTTTAGGCTACTCGTCCGCGAAACTTCTATCATATATAATTCTAATATGCTATTTAGAGAATGAATTCATATTGGAAGGTTTTTACGACGCTGAATCGTATGTTGCTATTCACCACATAGTCACGACTTATAATACTTAACTGCCTTCATATAAAATATAGGGTATGTAGGTACTTAAAATATAGTTAAGGGGGGTGTGTTAGTTGTTGTTTAAGATGGTTATAAAAACGGCCGGTCAAATGAATCTCACCCTATTTTATAAGACATAACATTGATCGTAGCTAATCTTAAGTAAGAGTACCTAATATACGAATAATCTAGAACCTTGTACCTTATTATATGTTGCAGCCCTTCGGTAAACTCTGACATATTTTTAATATTAGTTACTACCTGTTATTTGAAGAGTATATGCATAGTCTTAGTCTTTGATCACAATGATTTCCACCGCAGCCTTCTACCTCGGCAGTGGCACAAACACACCTCCATCCATATCAGATCCAGGAGACTCTTCAGGCTAAAACCACGCAGGCTGGATTCGTTGTTTCTCCTATTACCCCAATGCCTTCGACGGCAGAAATAGCCACTCCCCGCAATATTCATCTCGTCCGCATGTTGGAGTCGTATTGGCCATCTTCCATCTTAACCGCGATGATCTAGATTTCTCAGACAGTTATATCGGTACACTATATATAGCCAGGTGGGGACGACCCTGAGTTGGCAGTTGGGGCTTAAATGGCTACAGAAACAATTTGCCTTTGAGCAACCATGTCTTTTAGAGTGGCAGCGAACGTTATCGCTTTCTTGACCGTGAAAGGTGTAGTCGCTAGAGACTTCCCTAACTGCCAATCCGGTCCTGTAAGTGGATGGGAAACTCCTAAAATGGTCATCATGAATCGCTAATATTTATGTAGCTTGCTTCTAACCAAGTATGCAATACTACTCTTGACCCATGGTCGAGAGCGGCTGCTGTAAGAACACCAATCTTCTCCGGATAACCAAGCTAGTCTTAACTCATGTCTCTATCTAGCTTGTGGCCCAGTTCAGTCACGATGAGAAGATATCTAACTCCTGGGACAACTCGCCAGGAGTCTCGCGTCTTGGTGTACCGTCCTACGAATGGTGGAACGAGGCACTCCACGGTGTTGCCCGCTCTCGCGGCGTACAGTTCGCCAACTCGGGGAATTTCAGTTACGCAACATCGTTCCCTCAGCCCATAACTATGGGCGCAGCTTTCGACATGCCATTGATACGATCCGTGGCCGAGACTACGAGTACCGAGGCCCGCGCGTTCAGCAACGCTGGCCGGTGCGGTCTGAATTTCTGGACCCCCAATATTAACCCGTTCCGTGACCCCCGTTGGGGCCGAGGGCAAGAAGTACCTTCTGAAGACCCATATCACATGAGCCAGTATGTGATGCAACTCATACCGGGGCTCCAAGGAGGTCTGCATGGAGACCCGTACTACAAGCTTGCAGCAACATGTAAACACTATGCTGGGTATGACATGGAGAACTGGAAGGGAAACCGGCGATATGCTTTCGACGCTCAGATCACCAGTCAGGACTTGCAGGACTACTACCTTGCTCCATTCCGCGCGTGCGTACGAGATGCGAACGCCCAGTCGGCCATGTGTAGTTACAACGCTGTCAACGGTGTGCCGACCTGTGCCGACCCCTGGCTACTCGAGGACGTATTGCGCGGCTTGTACGGATTCGGCAGCGAGGACCGCTGGGTCACGGCCGATTGCGACGCTCTACAAAATGTCTGGACGGATCACCGCTACGGCTCCTCAGCTGCAGGTGCCGCCGCAGCGAGTTTGAATGCCGGAACAGATCTCGACTGCGGCCAATTTTGGCCTCAGAACTTGCCCTCAGCTTACAACTCCCGACTCTTCAACGACACTGTTCTCGACCGCTCGCTGATCCGGCGCTACGCGTCTATGGTACGATTGGGTTGGTTCGACCCGCCGGCGGAACAGCCATACCGGCAACTCGCATGGGACTCCGTAGCGAAGCCGGAGGCTAAGGCACTTGCTCTACTAGCCGCACAGGAGGGGATTGTGTTATTGAAGAATAACGGTAGCGCACTACCCCTGGCCAAGTCCATAAAGCGCGTAGCTGTTGTTGGACCCCTTGGAACCGCAACGACGCAGATGCAAGGGAACTACTACGGCATTGCGCAAAGCATCTCAACTGTAGTTTCGGCGTTCAAGGCCGCGGGTTATGATACCTCTAACGCGCAAGGATGCGATATCAGTGGGACTTCGACATTGGGGTTCTCCGCAGCGCTGAGTGCAGCCAAGGCCGTAGACGCGGTTGTATTCGTCGGCGGCATCGATACTAGCATCGAAGCTGAGGACCGTGACCGCGAACAGATCACATGGCCAGGACAGCAAATAAATCTGATCAAACAGCTGGCAGCAGCGAATACTGATAAGCCCTTTGTAGTCGTGCAGATGGGCACTGTGCTCGATAGTTCGGAGATAAAAGCTCTGACAGGCGTCGACTCGCTTCTGTGGGCTGGATACCCTGGACAAGACGGCGGCGCGGCGGTGGTTAGTATTATAACCGGCGAGAAAGCGCCTGCGGGAAGACTCCCGGTGACGCAGTATCCGGGCGACTACGTAAACCAGGTTCCAATGACGAACATGAGCTTGCAGTCCGGTACTGGAAACCCTGGGTAAGTGGCCCCCTTAGCCAATCATCTATCCGCCATGTTCAGTGAGAGATTTCAACTAACAAATATTCCAGACGGACTTACAAATGGTACACCAAAGAACCCGTATTTCCCTTCGGCCACGGGCTACACTACACCAGCTTCAACATATCTCTACCAACCGACCTCCCCACCACATTCTCAACCGCAGACCTTACATCCAACATCTCCTTCACGGAGACTGGACCTGTCGCCTCAGGCAACTACCCCGACCTGGCGCCGTTCCTCTCGATCCCCGTGCCAGTAGCTAACACAGGCAACATCACATCCGACCACGTCGTCCTCGCATTCCTCAAGGGCGAGTACGGCCCCGAGCCCTACCCGCTCAAGAGCCTAGTGGGGTTCACCCGGATCCACGACATCAAGCCCGGAGAGACGGGGACAGGGACGCTGGACCTCAAACTTGGCGCTATATCGCGCAGCGATAAAGACGGTAGCTTGACGCTCTGGCCGGCGAAGTATAAGCTAGTGCTGGATATTGACGACCGCGCAGCGTGGGACTTTGAGATCACGGGAGATCAGGTGGTGTTGGAGAAATTACCGCCGAAGAGGTCGTGAAAAAAAGAAAAAGGAGGCGGGGAAAGGGGTTGCCCACCTGTGAGATATATAGGTAGGTAGTAAATAAAATCGCAATTTAGGTAAATATTTGAGGGAAAGCTGCACATATGTATTGATATTAGGTAGTGATACACCAAGCTAAGTATACAATCTACGAGGCGAATGAATCTAGTTCCCTGAGTCAATCGACCCGGCACAGTTGGTATCCGACCTCCTCCCAGCGATCGTTGCCTACGCAAGGATGGCACCAGAAGACGTCGTCTGGGTCTACGGCGCGCTTGATCTGGAGTAGGCGATCGTAGTTGTCTCCCCAAAAACTTTGTTGCCAGTTTGGCACTCCGGGGTTATTCTATAACTCTTATTAGTCACTATGTTACTCACAAGGAGGTAAGTGAAATACCTCGTTCAAGTAAGATCCCATTTCAGGTGCTAATTGTCTAAGCGGTTCTACTTTAGCATTGATTTCGGCAAGGGCCTCCTCCTTGGCGGTCTGATTTAATGGTTGGAAGGTCAAACCGGTGACTTGAGGTGAGATAGAGTGTTAGTCTTTAGCTAAGAAGGATAAGAATACGAGTTTGGCTTACCAGCATGGACGATAGTCTTCCTCCACGACGGATTCACAGAGTCGCTGCCTCCCCTCGGCTTGGCATTCTTGGTACCCTGACCGGCTACAAGGAAAACCTGGCCGCCCAAGACCTTAAAGGCCTCGCCTACAGCAGTTACGTTCTTCGTCAAAGCTTCGGCGTCTAAGAGGTGAGAGCCGAGCCAGAGATCGGTACCCGCGCTGCCTACAGCATAATGGGTGCTGAACCAGTCCTGCAGCTGGGAATAGGTCTGAGGTATTACCGCCGGGGTTATTTCTGGCCAGGTCTTGTTCACATGCTCTATGATCGGTTTCCATACGTCAAGCATGTCGTTTACATCTTGCGTATCCAGTAAGAGGAAGAAGCCGCCCATACCGGCCCCAGTGGTTGGGACGCCGGGGTACGAGAAGTTGCCCGAAACAATGCTGTAACCCGATATACCCTTGGAATCTAGGTAAGGGTATTGCGAGAGCAAATACCCTGCCATCTCTGCAAAGTACGGCGCATCGACCTCAGGACTCAAGATGCTCACTGTGGCTGCTACAACTTTTGGCGAGGGATATGTGATAAGTGTAACCGAAGTCATAACTCCGAAGGTTGAACCACCTCCCTAAATTAGGCGATATTAATCAGTAGGCTTCATGTGGTTGGTAGGAGTGGACATACACCTCGCATAGCCCAGAACAAGTCCTGGTTCTGGCACTCGTTCGCCACAACGATATCTCCCGCGGATGTCACGACTTCCATTTCCAGGATCTGGTCCGCACCAAGTCCATATCGGGGAGCAAGGATAGAGTGTCCACCGCCGGTCAAATATCCACCAACACTGACAGATTTGGCGTTACCACCAACTATGATTTGGCCTATCTTGCCGAGCTCCTCGTAAACGTTTGCAAGTTGAGACCCGGGTCCTACAGTTGCAGCCGTGCTGTTGAGAGTGAAGTCGCACCCTTGTGGCTGGAATGACGTGTGCGTCTCCAAGGCATGCATATGGTGCGTCCATATTGAGAGGGCTCCCGGAGCTTGTGATCTGCCCTGATAATCATGACCAGTACTTTTCACTACGAGTCTGATGTTATATGTGCGTGCTGTAGTGTGTTATTAGACGATCAAGTTCGTAATTGTGGCTCGCTTGGCTTGCGATGAACTTACCAAAATCTATGCTCAACTTGACATCCTGAGCGGTTGTCGCGTTCACGACGTACGCAGGGTATCCGTCAGGACTACATGGGGCATTTGCGTCGGGAAGGCAAGTGTCGTTGTTGTACTGATTCCACATGCCCGAGGTTGGATCATTCTGGAAGAAGTCGTAGGTAAGCCATTCTTGAGCGATAGCCGTACACTGTTCGGCATTGTAGGTAGGATGTTTAGGATGGCAGATAGCTCCTGGGGGGGCCGCTTCAAGAAGCTTTCCTCCGGTAGATTGGTTGAGCTGGGCCCAGGTATCGGCAGACGGCCACTCGGGAGAGCCGGGGGCGGCCTTGCAAGCTACTGCCGGGTGTTGTCCGCCGGTTGTTCTTGGCTGCCCTGAGAAGGCATCGCTATAAGCGAAGACGGACGTGAGAGCAAGAAGTCTCAGCGAAGCTGCCATAGTATTGTTAGTGAAGCCTACGACTAATTGAGAGGTGATAGTAAACTTACACAGCAGTTGACATGAACGGATGTGACGAGCTTCATATATAAAATTGCAACTCCATTTTCATTTTCAGCTCACCAACTTCGGCTTCAGCTTACGTATATTGTGGATGGGTAACCAACAGCTACGCTGTGCCGCATACTCGATGCTCACTAGTAGATGTTATAATGCGATAGTAATGCGTCGTTGACCAGTCCTATTCTGCATGAGGATTGTTATTGGAGCTATGATAATTTTATGAGTTGTGGCTATGTAGACCCCTTGTATGCTGTAGTGGAAGAAACCGAGCCGCTGACCCCTTTTTCAGGTATTAAGTACCTAAACCGAGGACAGTAAGCTAGACTGTGCCAAGACATGGTGCTATGGGCACTTAATTCTTATTTTTGGTTACTATTATATCATCCTCATTTAAGCCAATTCTTAAATGTTAGTTAAAATTATATTCCTAAAAAAGAAAAAAATATCAAAAATATCCTCACCTTTGTTAAAACATGTAACCAACCTTTAAATTCGAACTTTTCAGCTGTGCCATTACGTATGGGCAAACAGCAACTGATACTACGTACCAATGTTTATACATACCTTTATGAAATGATTGAACATTTTGTTCAGCTATAGGCGAAACGGATACGCAGGATTATTATGATCAGACGAAAATTGATACCGAATAGAAACTAATTTGTAATCAAAAATTAATTGGTGGTCCTCTTAAGCTGAGCTTGCATAAGACTGTAAACTATTATTAGTTAGTTAGTTATAGGGTTATAAGTGCCAAGTAACTATAAACCACCATGATATAATCGCAATAACAAGGCACTTGGCCAAAAATAACCGTTGGTAATAAATATATTAGAACTTAACTCTATGTCTACTACAAGAGCTATTTGTCTATGTTCCCGCAGACAAGTTTTATCGTAGGGTGGGTACATTAGATAGCTTGATTGATAGTATGGCTGAGCAGCAGGATAGAAGAAATAGCATTAACTCTCTCTCGTTCTCGTTCTCGTTAAGCATAGAACGCTTGGGGAGGTGGAGCAAGTTGTAGCATAAGTTATATAATATATCGAGTTCAACGGAGCATCTCTGCGGGGTTTTAGACTTGTATTGTACCACTTAACTACCTTAGGTACCTACACAGTATATTATCCCCTTTTCGAGAAAGCAGATAAGGAATCCTAGTAGCGCGGAAGCTAGAGAGACCTGCCATATCAACTGCAAGCTACACGTGTAAACATCAATGACACGACCTCTCTGGGATTGTGGGAGGCTTTGTATACATTCCCATCAGGTAGTCGGGCCTCTATCTGTAAGTCGTTAATGCGCTAGGACTCGGTTGGTAGACATTATGATACCAAGGCCGAAAGCTGCGATGATTTGAACAATGACCCATTCGGCGGTAGAAGTATTTCGATTGAACCGTGAGAAGAGGCCAAAACCTAAGGTTATCAGCGCAAAGGCGATGATGTGCAGCGGTCGGTACCTCCCGGTTTTCGTCAAGACAACACCAGAGATATCCCCAGTAACTACTGACAGAAGAGCAGTAGGCAGCAGCGCGAGACCAGGTATAGTTGGGCGACATCCCGAGGACGGCTTGGAAGTAGATGGATAAAAATTACAAGACCCAAAACAAACAGATGAAGTTAATGAAGGCGATTATCAAAGTCGCAGCGGGTGTGCGACTATTGAAGACTCATTCCGGCCGGACACTAATTCGATAAGGAGATTAACGCCGCCGCCCCCTATTCCCTGTACCGCGCGCCCAGCAATCATCATAGCAGCATTATTCGCTCCGCCAGCGATGCCGCTACCGAGGACAAAGAGGCTAACGACTGCTATCATCATCCATCGGCGGCCGAAGAGATCGCACATTTGGCCGATAAGGGGCAGAAACACGGTACTATAGGATAAATAAAGTCTGAGTTAGTAAAGGGCCATATAAATCAGGGGGATATAAATAGGGGTGGCTTACCTTGTCAGGAAGTACGCATTGATAAACCAAACGTATAGGTCTCTGGCGGCAAGTTCACGGGTGATAAATGGGAGAGCTGTTGAGACTACGGTGAATTCGACGGCTGCTAGTATAGTAGTGAAGCAGATAGCTGAGAAAACTGCCCAGAAACGCCAACCTTTCGGCAGAGTAGTCGATGGGGTACCATTATCATGGTACACCGAAAGTTGGCCTTCAGGTGAAGAGTCCGGTTGGTCCTGTAAGGGCTCGCCTCTTAGACTTTCGTTTCCCATATCTTGAATAACTTGATATACAGAAATCTGCATATGAAAGTTTGTAGATAGGGTTAGTGGGAGTAGGAGGTTTTCTGGGGTCTGAAGCAGATTTGATATGATATTATCAACACCGGCTGGGGACAGTCTACGGAGTCTCCTAGAAATATTTCTAAGAAATTTAACTTCCCCATGACAATATTTGTTAATGTTTTCCCTGCAACAGGAGAAATAAGCTCTCAAAGACGTTACGAAGGTTACTAATACAGCCGTTTTGAGGCCTAACAGGGACTTCCTAATAAGGCAAGTCGCCGACTGTAGAGCTCTCGGTGCGCCGACCGTGACCCACATCTGGCGTACAGTCGGAGTTACTCGGTAAGAGCAACTCAAGCATACAAATTTGCCTATAAGAATTTATACCAGTTCAGCCTCAAGGATGTGCGTAGTCTGATTAGCTGCAATTCACACCGCTTTCTTGGCAGTATTCTGATAGCATGTAGGTACCTAACCTAACCTAACACACCTTGTGGTCCTAAATCTTAGTCCTATTCCATAGTATTGAAGGCTTCATTTCAATCTAAACTTAACCACCATGTTTTATTCCGCAGAACTTTGTCCAGCGTGCCGCAGTGTTTTATGTGACGAACTCAGAATGCGTAAATATGAGCCTCGAACAATCGAACAGAAACCCGAAGCATTTCAATCGGCTGTCAAAAAAGGCTGCGCTATCAGCTATATTATATGAAATAATACACCTGAACAACAGGTGAAGACCTGGTCCCAAATTTTATCCGAGGCTTGCGTTGAACTAGAATTATGTTATTACTCTATCAAACCAAAGGGAATCCGCCCTCAGATTTATTATACTTGTTCTACATCACGATCGTTCCCTATATTAGTTATAAAGAAAGTTCTCATTGACGGCTTCTTGTTGTCTCCGAAGACGGGATCTCTCCGCAGTCAGCTCCATATATGGCATTAAGTTATCAATAGGCACCAAACCCTAAGCCTATCCTCCTGGCTTCCAATATCGACGAATTCCGTCATGGTAAACCGATTAAAGATCTTCCTCAAACATTTAGAGATTTTATCGTTGTCGCACGGAGATCCTCTATTCGATATATCTGGATCGACGCACTTTGCATTATCCAAGACTCCAGAGGGGATTGGGAGATAGAAGCACCAACTATGAGATTTGTATATGCTAATTCTATATGCAAGGTTCAAGAGTTTATAGCGAGATGCTGCTTATTAACCACGCCATTCGAATCAGACACATCTATATCCATCTGAGAAGTTTTAGTATAAATTGATAGTGTTTGATCAGTAGCCTGAGTAGGCAAAATCTGAGTCCGACGTCGTGATGTTACCGGAGGGCTTGAAACACATCCGGCGTTAGCGCGGATACAGCGCTGACACGGCTCGTCATAATTATTTATAACAGCAACGCCAGGGGTTTTCCTTTAGAGTATCGTATACTGATTCTCAACTAAATCTTCAACGGCTAGAAGATCGCTGTGTGGTTGATTTAGGTAATATTTCATAAGATATAATCCGTGAATTTCCATGATTATAAACACATCATTCAGAGTCTTGATGGTAGTGTTTCTTCAACCCCTATTCGTTATGCCCACACTATAACATTCAAGATGCGGATATAAAATACTCCCATTCCCAACAACTCTTAGACACTAAACCAACCTCAGACAGAGTTGAACGCATGTCCAAGCCACTTTAATCTTTGAACTCCTTCTCTTTCCCATCCAGCCTCAGCTTTGTCAGTGCGGCAGCGAGTCTGCACATTTGTTCCGGGTCCTCAGACACCTTTGTCCACAAGGCGTGCACGTCATCCCCAATTCCAATCGCCTCCGCCGTCTTCAAGCTTCGCGGGTCTATAAAAGGCGCCAGGCAGGTCCAGATATGTTGCGCTGTATCGAAAAATATATTAATACCGACATCGCCTAAACCCTTGATGTTCTTGAGTTCTGCCCTGATCTTTGTCGGGTCCTCAGAAGTGAGTTCGAGGATTGTGTTCAGATCGCCCTCTAAAGATGCGCATTGTTAATTATGATATGATAACCTCCAGATTTGACTTCCATGTAACTTACCGTACTCATCCTCGACGAGTTGAGCAAGGTCTCCCATCATAGTTGCTGTCTTTTCTCTGTATAAGTATTAGTTGGCGATTGTCTCCATCGCGCAATAGCATGAAAACCCTACCTGTAGTGTGCATAGCCGCCTTTAGTCAGGATCTCAGTTCTTTCCTCCCAGCTACTTTTCTTCAAGACATCAAGCTTGTGATATCCAGCCTTGATCACTAGATTGACAGTCTTAGCAGCTAATGCATGAGAGATTCTCGACGAGGACAGAATTGCATTTAGTAGCAATGCGAGGACAGTATCCGGGGTCGGTTTATCCGGATCAGATAAATCCGTCTGGCTAAGTGGTAGCTCTCCATACTGAGAGATCAACTGGCGAATCTTGGAATTTGACACATTTTCGTCGCCTTCATTTTTGTTTTCCTCGGTGCTATTATGAGATTCGGTTTTCTTCTGCTTTGTCTCTGGCTCTTGTGCTTGCGTAGTTGTTGTGGCCTCGCTATGGGACCGCTTTTCGCCAGAGTTTGGCTCGTGGGTCTTGTTCTGGGAGCGAGTTGTCACCATTGTCACTTAGACTCTACCTAGATAATTATGACTATTTACTATATGAAACGACAGATCTTAAAACATATAAGTTTATATTCAACTGTAATAATGATGTCATAAATTACTACATACGTTAAGCGCGTGGAGAGATTCAAGGATTTGGTAATTTATATCACATCACTATGATGGTATCAAATACAAAGAGGACAAGTGGGGCAGAGGCTACCCCTATCACATTATATAAATGTTTACGGTATTTTCATCATGTCCAATGTTGGCAGCATAAAACAGCTTTCGGGATTGGCTATTACCTATCTGTGGAGTATTGCTATAAAAGTGCCTCATAAATAAGGTCTTATACTTGAAGCCCCGCATCCTGTAGAGTCTATCAGTCGGTTTAATGAACCTTTCCGCATTCAGGATAATAGTCGATCGTCGTAGAACATCCGTCACCCCAGTACTTTTTTCCGCAGTGGTGGCAGCCGCTCTTCCGAATATCTTGGTAATCCCACCACATATCGTTGCCAGACCTAACACAGCCCGGGTTTCCTGTAATGAGGATTCCGCAACCGAAGTCACTACCTACACCGTGACAAACTCCCAGATGTGGCATTCCGCTTCTGCAGGGACGGGTTAGCTAACGTTGTTTCGAATGTTGGAAAACTTGGTCATTATTAAAAGGTAACTTACCCGACAGCTCCATAGTTGATATCGTCATTCCTGATAAGTTTCCAATTGACGGCTTCGTCGCAGGCTTGTACCTTCATAGTAGAGCACATGATACTCCCCCAGCAATCGCAATGCGGCTCATCCGTCTTTTCCAGAGTCCGGTTCTCATAAGCGATGCTGAAGCCGTTGGGGATTGCAGAAGCATTGAGCGCGGCTACAAAGGTCGTCGAAACTAAGATGCTCAAACGCATATTTGTGGTGGTAAGACTTGATATCTTTTGATGTGTCTTGAAAATATTCGTCGGGATTGAATATGTTACTGAGAAGATATAGGAATTAGAGGATGGGAACTTCGAGGCCTATTTTTATGTCCTTTCCTTCATGAGGCTTGCGGTAGCCTTCGTTGATACCTATAGGGTTAAAGTTATGACACGAACTCACCAGATATACCTATGTACCTAGGCATTTATAAGGTTCGCAGAGATACTATCCCTACAGAAGTTTTCTACTGGATCTTAAAAAAGGTAGGTGTGCAGGTGCTATCTAGAATCCGCGGGCTCCTGATGGTTTGGCCCCTTTCCACCACCGAGGAACTTAGAAGGGGGCTGGCACTGACTTCGATATAATTCAAGCTAAAAGTTAGCTCATAAGGAACTCTTCCTAAATCTTAAACGAGGAGATAGTACCTACCTAGGTACGTATACGCATAGACTTCGACAGGTTTGTGGTCTTTGTCAATGTACCTAGGCTTCCAATAGGTACTTCGAATTAGGATAAACTCGAACGACTTGTAAATATTCCCACTACGATCATTTCCTTGGCCCCGATCCCAATAACATGAAGTATCTGATGGGACTTTTTGCTTCAATTCTGGGAATATGATTTTATGTTCTTCTATACATAGGTACCTAGGTATCTATAATTTAGGTGCCTATGTGCATATAAGCCCCTTTCCGTATACCTTGGGTATATAGGTAGGTACCTATACTTAAAAGGCTAGACAACGGTGGTTTCCTTTAGATGTATTATATTAAATCTGCAGCTAGGTCGCAGTCAGGTTACGAAGCTTCTTCAAGTTTATTAACCCACTCCTTCCAGACCGCACCAATATCATTCTTGTAAATCCATGACATGTCCTTCCCACCATCCGTAATAATCTTGTTCTTAACGCGCTCATCAAACGTCGGGTTCACTAGCACCTTCAATTTTGCAGCACGTTTGTCGGCCTCGGAAGAAAGGTGCGCGTACATCCGTGAGTAGTATGGCAATCTAATAGCGTCGAAGAGCGGTAGAGCTTTACTAGTATCATTCTTCCAGTATGCCAGAGCCTGAGCTAAAATCCAACCGTCCTCCATCGCAAACCCTGCCCCAGATCCGAACGCGCCGGACAAAGCGTGCGACGAGTCCCCAACAAGTACGACTTTGTTGTCCCACGCTGTGAGCTGAGCCAGCTCGGGACCAGCGAAAGCAGCAAACTCTCGCCAGCCGCCAGAAGGAACGCGCGCGAGCGCTTCTCTTATTTCGGGGAGATATTCCTGCATTGTGTTAGCGAGATTAGGCATAGTTAGAGGACAGACAATACCGTAAAATGTGACTCAACATGAGCATTCTCAACTGGAACACCCCAGCTTTTCTTATTTGCGCTATGGATCACTGGATCTTGCCATGCCCTAGAAGCTATCTCCCATAGGCCTTCCCCAACAGGAGAAAAATAGACATGCGTAGTCGGCGTATGCCACCACCCGGTAATCTCGAAGCGAGGATCTAAGTCTTTCACGTCGTCCCAGGGTAGAAGAGTCCTCCATATTGTCGTTCCTGTGAACTTGATTTCGTAATTCGGCCAAGCTGTATCTCGGACCACCTATTTGTCTCCTATAAGAGACCCTCTTTTAGACTGGATAGTGAAGAATGTCTTACAGATCTAATGCCGTCGGCACCGACTACTAGATCGGCTGTTACAACACTGTCGTCTTCGAAATGTAGCTCAACGCCCTCGTGACCTTTATCAATCATACGTATTAATCTCTTGGAGAGATGTATTACGCCAGGTTTCACGTGCGCTAAGAGAGCCGATTGAAGCTTCGTCCGCTGCGTCCGAACCGGAGGTCTCTGATCAAAATTCGTCGGCTTCTCACGACGGTCAAGTTCTTCCCCGGAGCGTCCATTCCTTCCAAGAGTTTAGTGATGAGTTTTAACGAGTATATTAGCACTTACATATTCAAAATGACCCATGTCGGATGGCCGCTGGTTAATGTATCAGCGACACCAAGGAGCTCCAGCACGTTCCACGTATTCGAACCGATACTTATACCAGCACCTGCTTCCCGCAATACTGTAGCCTGCTCATAGATATTTACCGAGACATTGGGAATCTTAGAGAGGGCGATGGCAGTTGCGAGGCCACCGGGACCGCCGCCGATAATGGCCACACGTAAGTGGCGACTGGAAGAGTTCACAGTCATCTTAACGATAAATAACTATCTACCTAGGTATCTAGGTGAACGGACACCTATTACGGGAGTCTTGGATATTGGTATAGTCCTTTTACTATATAACTCGGCCTCTATAAGCGACTTATAGAGAATAATTACAAACTCTTACAAAGCAGTATAACGTCAACCATCACGTGAATGGCGTGCGAACGACTTACTCCTCTCCTGGAAGTTGCTGATAAGACCGAGTTCATCAAGTGGCCTTATGGACGTACGACTTAGTGCATAGCTGGTCGAGTTAAGAGCGAATGTCATACTGGGGTCTATCAAAGCTATTCGGTTTTCGTCGGTTTGTGTGGTATTAATCGCAATTACCCCTGTCTCAATATAAGCAGCTCAGGTCGACCTTCAAATCCAATCCCAGCTGTACGAGGCTAAGATGATTGGTCTCGGAAAATACCGAAATTTTTCTTGGCTTATGTTAAATAAAGGTAGGTACTTATCTTGGCAAACCTCTAGAAAAGGTAGTTTTATCAACCACTGATAAATACCAAGTCCATGACTATGTTGATGTTTTGCACACCTAGATGATAAACTATGATAAGAGTTGATGAATAAGAAGGCAGAGTAAAAATAGAACCCCAACCTAGTGGTGTCGCATGTACCTTAGCTGCTTAGGTTAGGTACCTTATGTACATATAAGCCAGCTGATATCTCCGAATTGTGGATACACTGTCACGCTCTTGTAATTTGATTGGCCCGATCTAATTACCGATAGTGACTTGATCCCCTGTGACGGCTGTAAGTTGCTACTGCAACCTCAGATTCTGTAATCTGTATTTTGTAATCTGTAATCATCCTTAGAATAATTCGGCAGCTTCGCAACAACTCGTCCGCTGGCCATGAACGCGTCGAACCAGTTTCATATGTGCGCAAGTATTCGCTCAAAATGACTCTCAAACCTTTGGACGTTACCGATGTTGAGAGGGATGGATCTTTCCTTTCCCCCAGCCGCTATGACGATGATGCTTCATCGCTACACAGTCGAAGCGACCAGGATACTGATAGCGAGGATGACGAGATACTAGCTGCCGCACGAAATAGCAAGGAGTTGCGCGCACGCGATCGCATGGTATTGATGGAGGAGGAAGAATTAGATAGGCTAATAATCGATTCGAGGGCCCGAAAAGAACGAGAAAGGAGAGGGAGCAGTCTTCAGAGACGGGGCAGCAATATTGCGCTACCGAACCCAATACGCTTACTGAGAAGTTATAAGAATACGCGATCGGCGAGCGCGATAGATGACAACGAGAGTTCGGTTGAAGATCTACACGCTGAGAAAAGGAAAAATAGACGAACACGAAGGAAGGAAAAGAAGAATCGCTTGCTCAAGGAAGCGCGCAATGGCGAGGATGGACAACTCATGTATGAGATGGAGCAAGGGGGACTTAAGGACGGGAGCTCTACCGGCGACAGTAGTGAGCGAGAGGATAGCGACGAACTCGATCGCAAGCGCTTAATAGGAGTATCCGACGCCAAGGCTGCAAAGACGAGGAAGTGGAAGAAATGGCTACTCATACATGCTACTATCATAGTTGGTGTCGCATTTCTGACCCTCGTTATTTGGAAGCTTTCTATGGGCAAGAAAGAAGCTGCTCTTCCTCCTCAGCTGGTCAGCAATGGTACAGCTTTGTTCTTACCGACTACCCTCATTATCAGCCTGGATGGGTTCAGGGCAGATTTTCTAACTCGGGGTTTGACGCCAAGGTTGAATGCTTTCATTAAAGAAGGCGTGTCGCCACTCTATATGACCCCGTCGTTCCCGTCTGTGACATTCCCTGTAAGTCACCCTAGTCAAGCCTTGGTCATTGACTAATCGACTAATACGCTCACAGAATCATTACACCCTTGCGACTGGCTTATACCCAGAATCTCATGGTGTAGTCGGCAACACGTTCTGGGATCCGGCCTTGGAATCCGAGTTCTATTATACAGATCCTGATAGGAGTCTTGACGCTAAATGGTGGGGCGGCGAACCCTTTTGGGTGACTGCTGAGGAACAGGGTGTTCGCACCGCTGTGCATATGTGGCCGGGAAGTGAAGCTCACATCCTAGGCAAGGATCCGAGCTTTTTGGACAAGTACAATGGTAAGGAGAAACTACCTAAAAAGGTCAAACGAATTCTCGAGTTTCTCGATAAGCCGGGCGTAGAGAATCCAGATGCGGATCCCGCGGACATAAGACCGCAAATCATAGCCGCGTATGTTCCTAATGTTGATGCCGATGGTCACCGCTTTGGCCCGAACAGTACTGAGATACGGTCGACTATCAGCGAAGTTGATACAATGCTTGATCAGCTCTTCCATGGGCTGGAGGCAAGGAATCTTACTGGCATCGTAAATGTCATTATCGTCTCCGACCATGGTATGGCTACCACGGATATTAGCCGGATGATACAAATTGAGGATCTAGTGGACCTAGATAAAGTCGAGCACCTCGACGGATGGCCCCTAGTTGGCATCAGACCCAAGAATCTAGACGACCTGCAGCTGCTGTATGAGCAAGCTGCCGAAAAGGCCAAATCCAACCCTAACTTCGATGTGTATCTGAGAGATAAGAACATGCCGGAGCGGTATCACTTTAGCAATAACGACCGCATTGCACCGCTATGGATCGTCCCAAAGACCGGGTGGGCGATCGTTAAGCGGGAGGAATTTGACATTAAGGAAGCAAAAGCGAAGAATCTTGTTTACCACCCCAAAGGTCTACACGGTTACGACCATGAGCATCCTCTGATGAGAGCCATTTTCGTCGCCCGTGGGCCTGCTTTCCCGCATCAACCCCACAGCAAGGTGGAGGTGTTCCGTACGTCGCCCCTTTCCTTATTTTAGTTTAATTGGATACTAATTACGTGCAGAAAATATCAACGTGTACAATATCCTCTGCGACTCCATCGGTATGCAGGCCATGCCGAATAACGGGACGCTACATCTACCCCTGAAGATCGTCGGCCTTCATGACCCGGAGACGGTCTTCGAGGAACCGGCTGATCCTGTTAAGCCTGAGACCGCTTCTACTGCCAAGGCAACTTCTACCGTAGATGTTGCGACAGAAGCAATGTCTATTCTCCCAGTGGAAACTAGCTCCAAGGTTGCTCAGCCCTCTGCGACGGTCGGTGTGGATCCTATACCGGAACCCGTTAGTGATAAGCCGCAGGAGCAAAATCCTCCGTCGAATGAAGATAACAAGGACGAGGGTGATGACTCCGCCTGGTGGGAGAATGCCTGGGGCTGGGTGAAGGATAAGTTTGACGGACTAGTCGATGCGGTTAAGGGAATCGGCGACTAGTTCTGATCATTCTCGAAGCTCTATATTAGTTTCGGGCCTTGTTAGTCTTTTATTTGAGTGCGTCTGCTATTTAGTGACGGACACGTCCTATGCGCATGGGAGGTATTCACTTGGAAGGGCATTGGCGCTGGTGGCGTTTTATACCTGGTTTAACCCCGCGCGGGAGGATCTCTTCGGCTCGGATTTTTGTTGTGTTTCTTGGTAGAAGCGTCGTCTAGAACTGTATTCACACAGAAACACCGTTGTTGATTTTTGATTTGAAATATAAGGATGTGTGAGGTGATGGAATATGTAGTAATATTGTCTGTGGTTGGCTGATAGGGGGCACATTAATTCCGCTTATTTGGGCATTAAGATCAAGCTATGCTTTATTTAATCCTAACAATGTATGTATATTCTAAGGCTGAACATGCACAGGATTTTGGTTTAGTTATCGTATTCTGATTGAAATGAAGGTAGCCATCGTCTATATTTATTAGCGCAATGGCATTTACTGGGTTTGTTAGGGATTTAGGAGTAACTAAAGTGCCGCTGTCAATCCTCCTCAAGACCCATCGTGAATTCAAGTTTCTCTTGCAGGGCCTCCTGAGCATAGCTCTTGATATGTGCTTGTAGGTCGTCTAGGCAGAAGTACTCGGCCACGTGGAAGAGGCCAATCGCATCGGTGAATGCAATGGGGAGATGAAGGACTGCCTTGATATCTGGTGGTGATAGTTGGCCCTTGCGTATAATATCTTTTATAAGAATTGATTATTTATACCTTGCTTGTAGATCTAGGTAATAACCCACCCTATCTGCATAGACAGGATCTTGTTCGTGAATAGTTATGGTATTGCTCTTTGCTTCCTGCTCGTGAACATAAGAATAATGTATGGGTACCTAGGTACCTACCTGATTTAATAGGGATTATGGCCTATGTTAAACCACTCGCGGAAAATCCGCCATAGAGGGCCCTTTTAAACTATTCAGAGCGAATAGTGAGGATTTGCTTATGGGTCTTCTAGGTAAGATTGCCGCATGTGATAGTAGCATCTTTCGTAGAGTCATCTAGGGAAAGAGAATATGGAAATCGTTCTGTATAGTAACTAACTAATGTAAGATATCTATTGTCTTTAAAACATGACGTGCGTTAAATCACTTATACATAGTTATCCTAGCTTACTCGTTTCTGCTGAAAGGATGTCTCGTGACCGCTGGGTTTTAAAGTCTCTTATATTATAGGTAAATATAAATTGTTGCGGTCAGAAGGTGATGCACCTATGCAACCCATGGCGCAGATCAAGTGGGCCTTCAGCCGCAAAGCGCCACATCTCTGCACCATTGGCCGTCTCCACCCTCCTCCAAGGACCCTCAATTCAACATTATTTACGTCATGGCCCCTCCGGTCCCTGCCCCACGTCGTACGAGGCTGATAGAATTTTCCCCAGATCATAGGTATTGCGATAAAACTTTAATCGGCTTAATTCATTCATCTCTACACCCAAATTTCTCCAATATTCAACCGTCGCGGACGGCAAACTCAATGGCGCGCAACTACTCCGCATAATCCTGGCAACACGCCGATAGGCGCGATCGCACGATGAGAATTGGTTTTGGGGTATTCGTACATTCATTTCTTAAGCCGCCGTAAATCAGGTATACCTATATATACCTCCACGATGGCAGCGCCCCTGAAGGCCGTCGGCGGATTCGCCCCGCGCGCCGTCTTCGAGGTGTCGCCCTCTATCACGCGCTCGTATTTCCTGGGCCACCACGCCGGCGCGCTCACCTCCATGCGCAAGGTTCTCTCCAACATCAACCTGATCCTCGAGTGCCGCGACAGCCGCGTGCCCCTCACCTCGACGAACCCGCTCCTCGAGTCCGCGCTCGCTGGCCGCGACCGCATCGTCGTGTACACCAAGGCCGATTTGTGCGCGCCCGCTTCTGCGAACCGCTGGATTGACAAGCAGAAAGAACTACTGACGAAATTCCACTCCGGCTCGCCCGGGATCGTCGCGGAAGAAGGAGGAGAGGACGGATATGGGGGGGCGGAGGTGGTATTCACGGACGCGGGCAGCCCGCGATCGATTAAAAAGCTGATAGACGCGGTTAAAGAGCGCGCCGTGGCGTCAGACTCGCTGACGGGCTTGCGCGCGCTCGTCGTCGGCATGCCGAACGCGGGCAAATCAACGCTACTCAACGCGCTACGCGCCGAGGGCGTGCAGCTCCCGAAAGCGGCGCGAACAGGCGCGCAACCCGGCATCACGCGCAAGCTCAGCACACCCGTCCGCGTGATTGCCGAGGACACCGCTGCAGGGCTAGAAGGCGGTGTCTTCGTGGTCGATACCCCGGGTGTCTTCGTGCCCTACGTCACTGACGTCGAGGCCATGCTCAAGCTATCGCTGGTCGGCTGCGTCAAGGACGGCCTAGTCCCCGCCGAAACCGTCGCTGATTACCTGCTGTTCCGGCTGAACCTGCGGGATCCGGAAATGTACAGCGAGCTCAGTTCGCCGACGAACGATATCCGCGAGTTTCTTGATAATATCGCCGTGCGCACGGGTAAGCTGCTGAAGGGCGGCGTGCCGAGTCAAGAACAAGCTGCGGACTGGATCGTACAGCAGTGGCGCAAGGGCAATCTGGGCCGCTTTGGGCTCGACGACGTTAGCGAGGAGACCTTGGCTTCTTTGAGGGCGAAGGCGCTGGCTGGTGGCGAGCAGCATTTGAGTATGAACCAGGCGAAGAAGAGGGAAAAGGAGGCGCGGAAGGCGAGAAACACCGCTAAGAGGAAAGCTGCAGAGGGAAGTTGACGATTCGGATGAGACATGAACTATATATATATACATATCTAAAGACAAATTATAGAACAGACGTATCATCAGTCGAAGACGATATATGGAGCCTAGGCGTATTCGCCAGTATATTGGTAATCCGTATCGTCATTGTACATAATGTACTTAAAGTCCTACAGTAAGGAAACGCTATTGAGATATAGCAAGGTATCAGAGGGGGTATACTGTAGATACAACACCGCGCCTGTAAAATAGCATAAAAAAAACAAAAAAAAAGGTCCCACATCCTCTCCACGAACAGGTGCTCCGTGTCCTGAGACCTTGTCCCAAGTTCCTTAGAGCCCCCGACTCTCCTGATCAATCCATTTGAGATTTTGTTAGTACAGCTAGAAAAGTAGAAGTAGAACACCATTGATAACCCTCCTTTTAATCCTCTGAAAAGAACGCCTTGGATTTCCATCTGCGCAAAACAACGCCGAGCAATGCAGATATAAGCCTACCTAATGTACCTGGAAGCTAACCCTAGAACGCCAAGTTGACTGTTAAATGAAGCCGTCAATAACTTCAGGGCGCAAACTCTTGCTGCCATTTGACCAAATCCCGTGTCAATATGTCCATCATCTCGATACAAGACATATCCTTAAATTCCTTTAGCAAGGAGAGGCTATGGCTAACTCCATTGGTTATCGACCCGTTCGTAGTTATACCGACGTTTTCGTGTTTTCTGCTGTCGCCGTTTACCTTAATTGAAGGTATTGTAGTGGCGGATCCATTGCTAGCATTATTCTGTTGTGTACTAGTTCCTGAGTCTGATAACGGCTCGCTTGCGAGCTCAACCTGTGTTCTTGTGATGTATTCTAAAATGTTATTGGCGCGCCTCTTCATATCTGTCATAGTGATCCTCGAATTCATGCCGCCCTTTGATTTGCTCTGCTTGCCGGCAGGCTCGTGATTCGATTTTGTATGTGATGTGCCGTTCTCGTCGGCATTTCTTGTAATGTCACGCGACACTGACCTCGCCGGTGATTCGTCATGATCACGATTATCACGGTCTTTAGTATATTGGTTCCTGCCTTTCTTTTTCTGGTTGGTTGCCTTTTTCTTATGGGAATTTGTGAGAGCCGGGACTGTAGGAGGCGTATCGGGAGGGGGCTGCGATGAAACCGGAGGATCAGGAGGTTGCGCGGATTCTGTTGCCCTATTTACTGCTGCGCGAACTGCCAGAGGCATTTCTTCCGAGGGGTCGGAGTCTGGGTTTGGGTTAGCTAGTCACTTATTCAATACTGTCGTTGGGATGTTACCATCAGCTCGCCGACGTTCAGCTCGGCCTTTTCGCTTATTGGCAGCCTCGACCCGTCTCCGCTCTTGCTCTTCACGGCGTTCGTCCCTTTCGGCTTTTTCACGCTGATTCCTTGCTGCGTTCCGAGACTTTTTTGACGATCCGTTTCGCATTGCCAGTTCATCCTCGGACTCTTCAGGGGGGGCGGATTGAAGCCTTTCAATTTTCGGGGAAGGAGATTTGGAAGTTGTTCGCTGTCGTTTAATACCCTCGACCTTCCTATGTACTTCGTTAGCAACAACACCAAGCCTTGTTAATAAGTCAGGGACGTACTCTTCACTATCATCTCTACTTCGCTTGGGACGTCTTGACGGAAGTTCTGTGGTTTCGGGAATCGCATCTTCCTTGCTTGCTTCAATTGCTCGGCGTAGTTGCTCCTCTTCATCGTAAGCAGCATCTCTACTGTTCATAGTAGAACGCCGCTTCGATGCATGCGCAGCTGCTGAGGAGCGTGAGTTTTTAGTTGGATTGCTTTTAGGGGAAAGCGCACCATCTTTAGCTGTGGAGGTGGCTCGTGAAACAGCTCGTGAGGGTCGATGGATGGGAAGAAATATCGAGTATTTTTGCCTGGGTGCCATAATGTTAATATGACGATTGTAATGGATTGGTGGTGACAGGGAAGTCAATCTTGGAAGGGGGAAAGGGAGTTGGAGAGACCAAGATCGGCAAAGGCGCGACCGTCAGCACTCCGCCGCAGCTGAAGGGTCACCCAATGCGACTGTCCTCAATTTGATTGTAGGATTTGATGATGAGACTCACCCATTGCTTGCTGTAAATGTCTTATGTAAATCTTTTCGGCATCTTTCGCAAAAGTACTGGACGTCTTCGAGATTGGACTCTTCGGCAAACCCGACACAAGCACCATGCTGCCATGTGTTGCAGAACTCGCATTGTACATAAAAACCAGCCATGTCGTCCGTAACTTCGATAGCGAAAATTCGGTCATGGTCAATCGTGTCTCTTGGGTCATGCTTCGAGTTCTCGTCGAAGGGTGGTGGCCCTGGGTATTCGTCATGACCGCAGATGCAGCGTACGGCCTCATCGTCCTCTTGAACTTCGTCGCCAGCAGACGCCATATCGAGTAATTCTATCTTGGATTGCTTTTCTCGGTCGTCTTCTTTCCCGCGCGTACTCCGCCGACGGAGAATGGGGTCGTCGTTCGTTATAATTGTTGAATCCTCGGGGGGCTCTGACGATAAAGATCCACTACCAGTCGACTTTTGGGGTGAACCAGTCTTAGTGAAGGCCCTCGTGCTTCGCTCGACACGGCCAGATGCACTGGACGCACTCGAGCTATTATGTGATTGTGATTGAGTTGTTCGCGCACGAGAAGAGCGTCTAGTCGGAGAAGTACCGGCCATAGCTTGTCGGCGTGGAGTATGGGCGACTAAGCGACAGGTCGGATTGAGATCGGGGGGGGCTTAATGTGGGAAATGGGTTAAACGCGACGGCGATCTCAGTAGAGAATGGAATTGGGAAGTATTCTCTTTAGGTCTGAGCAAGGAATATGTGAGATTATAGGTGATTGGGTCGCGACAAAGACTGGATGTGGTTGGAAGAAGGTGAGGAGACAAGAGTTGCTCCAGGGCGACCGCGAAGGAGCTCTTGAAGGAATTTTGGCTACGCGAGGTCAGAGGAAACAGGATAAGGACCTTGCAAATATACCGTCAGGTCTATCATGACTGAATTCGATATTCGTAAAAATAAAAAAAAACTGCGTCAGTTTGCAAAGGTAAGAGTAATAGAGGGGGAGGAATGTGTGTTGGTTAAGGCGAACAAGAGGGTCACTTTTTGGAGGAGGTAGGTAGTAGGTAGAGCAGCATTGTATTAGGTATTGTTCCTAGCTGGCCCTCGCTCGGGCGCGGGCAGACTCGCGCGACCAAGCAATTTAGCGACTTAGCGACTATCCAGCAGGGGACCCGGCAGCTCCTCAGGTGCTATGGATGGTAAGGGTTTTTTTTTCTTTTTCTTTTTCGGGTTAAGTTCTTAGCTTGGATCCCCAATTGATCCGGGCCCTCTTTCTCGTCGGCCTTCCATCGGTCCGTCCAATCCATTGGTGGTGACTGTACAGGTGAGCGCGGGGCACCGTACTCACATGTTGCTATTCACACCGTATTTTGCCCGATTAGCATTAGATATGCATGCATGCATGTGTCGATATTCCCATACGCATACACGAAGGTGGGAGACCTCACCTCATCTCATACGCCGGAGGAAGATAAGCTAGGTAGCTACCCATGTTAGGTACGTTTTGGTTGTAGCGATTTATTGTTCACATTGGTGCGCTCTGTGCCTATTGGAATATGAGATACCTTAGGTAGGTTGTAAGATACGTGTGCATGTATCTAATATTGGTATTGGGAGATACTTCGATAAGTTTATGTTGGATGCATTTTGGCTTTTGGGTTTCGATGCTGGAAGAATGCGATTAGGTGGCGTTGATTGGAGATGGGGAAATTGATAGGAGGGGGATAATGGACGTCACTTTACCTGATGTTCCTGGTGTGGCGGGCAAGATGAAGGTGGGATTACCTACCTGTCTTGCCTGTGTCGGGACAAAGTGGAACACAGTATGTAGGTAGGTACATGTATGTAGGGAGGTATTTAGCAATTGTAAGTACCATTTATTATGTACCCTAGGTGCCTGTGTTCCGACCAATCTGGCTTCCAATACATACCAACCGCACTTCAGTTCGAACTCATTTACATAAAGTTCACTAAGATTACTAATGGAGCAATTTCAGGGTTGATTGGCCCTTGTACCTACGTATTTCGTGTATTTCGTACAGTACATCGATCCCTAAACCCTTTCGTGTGACAGTGTGGGCAGCCATCCCTCAGTCAATTACATATCGCCAGCACAACTGATCTCCTTACCTTGTAGGTACCTGCCACCTTACTCAACGTTGCCGAAACTTATTAGGAACTCCCACCTGATTCTTCCTCATACCAAAATCCCAACAACGATCAAACATCTTTTTGCTCTTGCTTTTGCAACGTCTTTGCATACCATTGTCACGGCATCGAGATTTCTACTTAGCTTGTACGAATCGGTCCTTATCGTAAATCCATTCTATCAATCTTCCCCGCCAAAAGGGGGACCTTCTTGAATACGGAACACTACGGAGACTCGTCTTAGGTTGTATTGGTCATCTAAGCCCACCACCTCGACCAGCTTCCGTGGACTGCCATTTCTGTATGTACAAAAAAAACCCCATTCGGGATCTTCTGCTTTCAAAAAGCAGCGGCACGCTTGCCAGAGGCTCAGTGACACTTTCTAGCTAAGGTCTAGCAGTTGGCTCCGATAGAATTGCCTACCGTTTACTTAGAGGTCCGGTATTAATCTTACCATAAATATATAGAAAAGGAGAAGGTCGCTGCAACGAACGCAACCGCGAAATTGTGTATCCGCCGTCTTTGAACCTGTCTCGATTGCTGTACGATAGCTTACCGCGCGAACCCTCTTCTCTTGCTCTAAGCAGACGAGTTGAGCAAAGTAGGAACACATTGGAGGAGACAGCTGGGCTGTCAGTGCTACAATTGTAATAGTGGGATGTAATGGGTACGTCGTTTCCTCGGTGAGGCCTCGGTGAGGGACATCCGCCATAGAAAAGAGATGATTGCTAGAGCCGACACGCTTGTCAGCCTGAAAACTGGCTGGGCATGTGGATATGGTCTCGAAAACTGCCACCTGCTCTTCCGCGTCACACATTCGCGTCGCTGTTGGGGGAATGGCTAGAGACCCATATTTCAGCGAACCGAGTCTCTAACAAACCCCGCGTCGCATTCGACATATGACCGTCAAGGATGCCTCTGAGTTTCTTTTACTACCATGTGTTTCTGCGTTGTATCTCCGTTGAAGGCCGTTTGGCTAACACTCTCGCGATTTGCTCGCGGAGCAGGACCTTCAGAGAATATGTCTCCCGAGTCTTCCTCACTATTTCCTGACCGGCCTATTCGACCTCTTCCGAAACGTCGACTACGTGAACGACTTTCTCCAGATGTCGCCGATAGCATTCAATACCCCCCGGCACCTCAAACTTCAGCGCCCCTGTTTGTTTACCCATATAATGCTAAGGAAGATTTGGTGTCGTTAGGAGCCGAGCCTCTAAGTGTAGCACATCGAGAGAACGCAGCTGAATTAGGGCAAGAAGCCGGTCTCCGTAGAAACGGCCTAGGTAACGAAAACGACGGTCATTCACTAATTGGACAAGCTCGGAGAGCTTTCGTATCACGACCCCTCCACGATTCGTCAGGACATGCGACTCGTGCCCCTCTACGACAGGGTCAATCTCGGCAACCAAATCCGCAGCCACCGCCTTCTACCGCATCCTCCGCAGACGGTTACGATTCCTTTGAAAACAGCAACAATAAGAAGAAGCGGAAGATTCCAACTGCTGGTGAGACGATTTTGAATGGGACGCACGTGTTGAATGATCTTGGAGCGCTAGGAGTATCATCGCCCGTAGGAACAGGTGACGAAGGATCCTTAGATATCTCCGGATCAGCTTCTGCAGCTTATTATCAATCCGGCGGTCTTGTAACGGGCGGGCAAGGAATTTCTGGTCCCGGCAGAGGTAGGTACGGCCGGGTACGCAATGGTAGGAGCCCATTAAGAACCCTGTCAGACCCGAATAGCAACTGGGGAAACCGGACCCCTAATAAACTCAGACCAGGTGGTGTACAATATCCATCGCCGCCTGCAGGTAAGCCCCGTTTCGTCGAATTTCTTCACCTTTGATTATCTCTGTCCAACGAAAAGTCCACATCCTTTTGTTTGATTTTTTTTTTTGGTAGCAATCTCTAGGCAACAATATAATACCATTCAAAAGCAATCAATCACTAACATATCTTACTTCGTCATAGGCGAGAATTCCGGAATTATCTCCAGTGCTATCGCCAGTGCAGAGAAACTTCAGGTACCCCCAGGCCAAGAAAATATCAGTCTTTTACACCAAGAAACATCTACGAAGTCTAGTCCAACATCATCAGCACAGTTTACCTTCACGTTTGATTCCCAAAACCCTGTTTCCTGGCCTGGCTCTGATCCGGCGCCGTCAAATATGGGGCCCTCAAACCATATGAACCAGTCTCATTCAGACTCGAAAGACTCGTGCAATGGTCTTGGTGCTAGATCTCAAAGTGGATCAGGCCCTCCCCCGAATAGACCAGGAAGTATGCAGGGAGGAATCAACGCAGCAACCAACGAGGCAGGCAAAGGAGCAGCCCAGGGTAATGTGCCACCGAAGAAATCGAAGCGTCGCGGCAATTCCCTCTTGCAGGCGGCCAAACAACGCCGTAAAGAAACTGAATTCCAGAATTTCCACCACCCACCGGCCCCAGAGGATATTTGGATATGTGAATTCTGCGAGTACGAACGAATCTTTGGCCGTCCACCTGAAGCCTTGATTAGGCAATACGAGATCAAAGACCGCCGACGACGCCGGGAAGAAGCAGAGCGGCGTAGGTTATTGGAGAAGGCGAAAATGAAGTCGCGCAAAGGCAAGAAGGCAGGAAAAATGGCAACGAAGAACAACTCTAATGCCCCTGATCGCAACCTCGCGTCTACGGCTGGGCATGCTCCTCCTCCTCGACCTCATCTGAATGATCATGATGAAGATCAGGGCCTGCACCAAGGTCAAATCCACGAAGAAGATCAAGAAAACGGTTTTGGTTCTGAGGATCACTACGAAGAAGAGGGACTGGAAGTAGATATGCCTAGTCATCCACGGGCGCGTGGTAATAAGGGCGGCGGAGGAGTGGATAGTAGTTTTCAAGGCATCTACGTGAGCCAGTGACAAGTATCCGACTCTTGTCTTCGATTGGTTGGACTATTCGGTATCCCAGCATTGACAGCGTGTGTCACGATCGCCTTCTCAACTCTTATTGCATTTTCGAAACACTTCTTTCGCATCAGTTTTCTAGGACCGCCAGCCTAGATACGTCACCTGCCCGGAGTTTGAATCCCAAGTGTCGTTTCTCACCTTACTTCTGTTCGACTCGTATGTTTCTCGCAACCCAAGGCCATCTACCAACCGCGAAGTCTCGTCGTAGCGCTTCAATTCACCCTTTCCAACCTCGGAATAATACTAGTCACGCAGCGGATAGTAAATTATTCTTATGAGCTAGACTAAACGAGCATTCACGAGGTTGGCGTCTACGGTCGAGAATCCTTGTCAATACCTATAAATCATCGAAAATGCACGTATCGTGCTATGATTAGTACCCCTTTTAAGCGCTGTCGTTAGAAATGCCTCGGGGCGTATAGACTAGATAGATCATAAGAGACTATCCATCATATGTATTGGCCTATTTTTAGCGCACTCTGTGCTCTTGCTTAGGCATATGTAGTTCCAATGCC